GATCCTGGACCATTAAGATAAAAATTCACTAATGTTGATCCTGGACCATTAAGATAAAAATTCACTAATGTTGATCCTGGACCATCAAGTTTAAAATTCACTAATGTTGATCCTGGACCATCAAGTTTAAAATTCACTAATGTTGATCCTGGACCATCAAGTTTAAAATTCACTAATGTTGATCCTGGACCATTAAGATTAAAATTCACTAATGTTGATCCTGGACCATCAAGAATAAAATTCACTAATGTTGATCCTGGACCATTAAGATTAAAATTCACTAATGTTGATCCTGGACCATCAAGAATAAAATTCACTAATGTTGATCCTGGACCATCAAGATTAAAATTCACTAATGTTGATCCTGGACCATCAAGATTATGAATTCACTAATGTTGATCCTGGACCATCAAGTTTAAAATTCACTAATGTTGATCCTGGACCATTAAGATAAAAATTCACTAATGTTGATCCTGGACCATCAAGATTAAAATTCACTAATGTTGATCCTGGACCATCAAGTTTAAAATTCACTAATGTTGATCCTGGACCATCAAGATTATGAATTCACTAATGTTGATCCTGGACCATCAAGATTAAAATTCACTAATGTTGATCCTGGACCATCAAGATTAAAATTCACTAATGTTGATCCTGGACCATCAAGTTTAAAATTCACTAATGTTGATCCTGGACCATCAAGATTAAAATTCACTAATGTTGATCCTGGACCATTAAGATTAAAATTCACTAATGTTGATCCTGGACCATCAAGTTTAAAATTCACTAATGTTGATCCTGGACCATCAAGTTTATGAATTCACTAATGTTGATCCTGGACCATCAAGATTATGAATTCACTAATGTTGATCCTGGACCATCAAGATTAAAATTCACTAATGTTGATCCTGGACCATCAAGATTAAAATTCACTAATGTTGATCCTGGACCATCAAGATTAAAATTCACTAATGTTGATCCTGGACCATCAAGATTAAAATTCACTAATGTTGATCCTGGACCATCAAGATTAAAATTCACTAATGTTGATCCTGGACCATCAAGTTTAAAATTTACTAATGTTGATCCTGGACCATCAAGATTAAAATTCACTAATGTTGATCCTGGACCATCAAGATTAAAATTCACTAATGTTGATCCTGGACCATCAAGTTTAAAATTCACTAATGTTGATCCTGGACCATCAAGTTTAAAATTCACTAATGTTGATCCTGGACCATCAAGATTAAAATTCACTAATGTTGATCCTGGACCATCAAGATTAAAATTCACTAATGTAAAAAATAAATACATAAATAATAAAGGCAAAATTCAAACAGCACACAAAAAAAAAACACCAGACGTAAGAGCGCTTTAAAACTATAGATTACTAACACACAGGAACGCTAATCTAACTATACTAACTACAAATATATAGTACTTCAACTACTTCAACTATACAAATATACATGCAAACATACATGGGGAGAACATGCAAACTCCACACAGAAACACCGACTGACCCAGCCGACACTCAAACCAGAGACCTTCTTGCTGTGAGGTGATCGTGCTACCCACTGCACCACCACAACAGCCCAAAACAATAAACAATAATTTCTATATATTTTTCTATATTATTTTTTTAAAAAGCATTGAGTACATTTGAAAAGATGTTATATAAGCTTATATTAAGAAAATATGAATGAAAAGAATATAAATGATGTATTTATTCAGTGTATGCATTAACATTTAACTCAATCTATTAATAATCCATGCATTTCAAGAGATCTGAACATACGAACAATTATATAATGTACATGCGGAGCTTCATAAATTATTACAGTTAGATCAGATCAAAAAGCTTGAGGATCCGTCTGCATCTGAACATCTTGACATTTTACCCACAATCCCCCTTTCTCCAACACTCATTTCAGATTTCCCAGAAAACCTCTTAGCGCCGAGCCGAACCGCAGCCGAAACGAAACCCTCATCGCCATGGCAACCGAGCAGGAATCCCAAATATGGCTTTTACATTATTTATTTAAACAAGCAAAAAGGGCATTAGCGCTAATGCTAGTCCAGACCAGTAAACGAGCACTAATGAGCAGAGAGAAGAGGAAGAACTTTCTCCTGTCACACTGCACTATAATCCTACACAGACGTCCACGACAAATGAAAACTAACGTGGATGATGTTCCACCTGAAGCACCATTTAAGGGTTAGTCCACCCCAGAATTACACTTGGGTCAACATTTACTCACACATCATTACTTTGAGTTTCATTCTTGTTCAATTGGTGTACTTATAGTACATTTTGTTTCTACTATAGAAGTAAATGATCTTGTGTTCAACAGAAGAAACTAACTAACTAAATAACCAACCAACAATTAACAAATAAATTAACCAATTAAAGAAAATAAACAAATAAATAAAATATATTTATTTAATATTTAACAATAATTATAAAAAAAAATAATAACTGATAAATTTATTTAATATTTAATCATAAATTTTAAATAAATAAATCTAATAAACAATACCTAATTCATATTTAACAATAAATGACTTAACTAATTAATTAACTAATTAATTAATAAGTAATAAAGTGTGACCTATAATTATATTTCTGATGTAAATAAATGAATAATATATATTAATGAATAATTAATGTATTGAATATTTAATATTAAATAAATAAATATAATAATTACTATTTAATTTTAATATTCAATAATGAATTAAATGAATAAATAAAAAACAAATTAATATTTGATATATAAAAGAATATGAAAGATGTACTTTTAATAAATTCTACAGCTTCTAAAGGATTCGCATTTGAAAACAAGTCTCTCAGATTAAATGTGTTGTCTCGTGACATTAAACAGAAAAAATAAACAAACTAACTAAATAAATAAATTAAAACTAAATAAATAAACAAATAAAATTATAAATGTATTTAATATTTAATAATAAATATTAAACAAACAATTATAACACATGTATTTAATACTTAATTTTAAATAAATAAGTAAATAAAAATGTATGAATACAAAGTTTAATTAATTTAGAATTAAAAATGTATAATTAATAATAAATAAAAAATTAAAAAATAAATATATTAATAATTTAATATAAAATATTATATAACATGAATAAATAAATAAATACTATATTTAACATTTAATAATAAATACTAAATTAACAAACAAAGAAACAAAAAAATAATAACATAAAAGATATGAATATATAAGATTTACTTTGAATAAATTCTACAGCTTTTAAAGGATTCGCATTTGAAAGCAAGTCTCTCCAGATTAGATGTGTCTCATAACAATAAACAGAAGAAATAAACAAACAAACAAATTAATTAATTAATTAAAACTAAATGAACAAATAAAAATAATAGATGTATTTAACATTTAATAATAAATATAAAACAATTAAAATAATGAATAACACATGTATTTAATACTAAATAATAAGTATTATTAGTAAATAAAAAATGTATAAATGCAAAGTTATATTATTTATAATTAAAAATGTATTATTAATAAACAAAAAGTTATAAATATATGAATAATTTTATATCAAATATTATATAAAATGAATACATAAATAAATAATTCGTATATTTAACGTTAAATAATAAATAGTAAATTAAAGAACAAAGAAACAAATAAAAATAATAACATAAAAGATACGAATATATAAGATTAACTTTTAATAAATTTGACAACTTTTAAAAGATTCACATTTGAATACAAGTCTCTCCAGATTATACACATCTTCTAACAATAAACAGAAGACACCAGCTAAATAAATAAACAAATAAAAACAATCAATTCTCAATATTTACAAATAAATATTAAACAAACAAGCATACAAAAATATTGAATACATTTGCTTAATATTAAAAAACAAATATTAAATAAATAAGTAAATAAACAAATCTAATAATACATTTATTTAATATTTAAGAGTAAATATTAAATTATTAAAATAATATATTAATTTAATATATAATAAATAAAACAAAATATATAATAATTTTATATTTAATATTAAATAAAATAAATACACAAAAAACTAATAAAAACAATAAATAATATATATGTGAACAATAAAAAATTTAATTATGTGTTTTATATTTGCAATGTTCTAACAATACCAACATTGTGCAGGAAAGTCTCCTTTAAAAAGGCATCCACGAGTAACTCTAGCGTGACCTGAGTGTAAACAGTGACCTATAACTCAATTTCTGCTGTGAATAAAACTCAGCAGACACTTTC